ACGCAAAATTCTTGACTAGCAATCAAAAAATGAATAAAAATTCAATGAAACATGTGCAACATCAACTGTGTTTGTTCAAGAGGACAAGTAGTGTGACTTAAATAAGTAGTCATGCTTCAGCAAAATTAAGCCACGCTGGTGCGTTCCGTTTGCGTTCTGTGTGCATTTCCTTTATTATCATGCATAAGGGTCTAGTCCATGACGTCACCCAACCTAGGGAAAAAGTGCGTTCCTCCATACTAATTAAGTGCCTAGTCAGTGTCTAGCAGGCTAGGTAAAAATGCTTCCCTCCAAACTAATGAGGGTCTTCCTCTATATGTAATTAGCGTCTCTCTACTACAATAGGCTCGCCTAGACTTGCCCGTTAAGTAACTTTAGCCCGGATTTCGGACTGTTTATCAAAAAATAGGAATAAGAGGTGCGATCACCTACCAACGCGAGAAACGGCTTACTATATCTTATTCAGCGCTCAAAATCGGATATATAAACAAATTCAGTGAGTAAGGTCAGAAAACTCCTAAGGTTTAGCCTGCACTCTGCAGCAAAAGCCTACATGAACTTTCAAAAACGCAGTCATTAACGTCATTGATGATTTCCGTTGACTTTACACGACGCTTTCCTCAACCACAAACCAAATAAACAAACCACCAAACCAGCTTCGATTCACTAAAGAATGTAAGCAGCAGCTATATTTCATTTTGTAACAGCTCCGTAGAAGTACAAGAAAAGGTAAAAACTTAGAATTACACAAAGCTTCAGTTGACTTGTCGGTAAACAAATTTAAAGATGCTGCATAGTCAAAATTTTGACCAATCTGAGATTAAATTAAATGATTAAAAGCGTGGCCAAGCTAAAAGCAAATCCCTATAAATCTATTTCCAAAATTTTTTGTTGTAAGTCAAACACAAAAAACTCCAATCTAGATTTTTACAAGAATAAATCTATTGGTTGCCTCTAAACGGGTTGATTTTGGACAAACAGTCAGTAGTCTCTCCCACTAGAAACTCAAAAGAAAATAAATCAAGCGATTTTTACAGAAGAAGAACAAAGCATGGTCAATTGTTGGTGTTTTCTAGACAACACAGGAGCAAAACCTTTGTTAAAATGCAGCCATTTCCATCCAAACGCAAAAGACAAATTTGAACAGTATTTGATTAATAAATACCCTTTGATAATCTGCTCAATAGTCTATTGTAAGAAACGTGGAGAACTTAGTAACCTGACACCAAATAAAACGACAAAAATGCACCAAAAGTTAGAAGAAAGAAAAATACTCTGTCCTCGTGCATGCTGTGGAATAGAGAGAAAAACGCGATGGTCGTTAACTTTTGTCCTTGAGAGGGATCCAAGCCTTTGTTGCTGGTTAATTTAAACTTGTGGGGCCTTTTGTTAATACCTTTTTTGGGGGGCAAGGAATGTTTTGAAGGGGTAGTATTGGGTTGCAAACAGCTCATTCTACTAAGGTCTTTACATGAAAACGTGGAAGCTCAATAATTGTCATAATACTCGACAAGAGAGGATAAAGGGGATAGAGAAGGCATCCCCCATACACACCCTATTCCATAGGTAATTCGTCTCGAGTTATTTTTAAGACCATAGATCCCAAGGGGGGTTAGACAAAAGCCAATCACATAGCACTAATGTGTTCCGCGTGGATAACCCACGCTCAGAGCCACGCGTCCTTCACGAATTGATGCGGAAAAAAATGGCAGAGGACGCGGAAAGCGATATTTGCTATTTTTTTTGTCGGCGAAACCGACTAAAGAGAGATTTCTGCTAAAGCTGTGTCAGCGAAACGGAAATTAAAAAAGAATCGCCCTTCCTCTGTTGTATAGAGCTAACAGTACAGCAGGGAAATCCTTAACACACTGAATATTCTCTCAGGATCATTTATAATTTACAGTTTGAAGAGAGCAATTTCTGGCTTGATATTTACTCTTTTATTAGTCTTTTAATTATTCAACAAAAATAACACTTGCTGTCCTACTTGCTTTATTATACAAACGACCGGTTTCAATAGACGGGCGAAATTTCTCACTTTTTTAAAGCACTGAGGTTACGACAACTTCGAGTTAAACTGATTTCGCGGGTTGTCAAAGAGTCTAGCGATTCCCTTTTCCCAGGTGAGCGCCGACTCATTTCGCTTCAATATTCAGAAATGCTCTTGATCTCTTTACGCTTCCATTGCCTTTCGCCCGACATGTTTTGCACGGCGTTTAGTCATGCGGAACCTCCATGAAACATCCACAGAGCGCGCGAGGTAACTTTATCCCGATTCTAAAAATAACTTGAGACGAATTACCTATGGAACAGGGTGTGTATGGGGGATGCTTTGTCCGTCCCCTTTATCCTCTCTTGTACTCTATTATGTAGGGTTAGTCTTACGGGGGTTATTAGGAACCTTACGCATCGACGACGAAATGGGACGATGACGCCGACTGGAAGTGAAATTTTCCCACGCGAACCTTCTGGGCATGCGTGAGGTTGTCAAAACGTCGTCCAGCCTTCTTCGATGAGGAAATTCAGGGAGGTTTGTTACGCCGCAAAATGTAACAATTGACGCAAAATGTAACATTAACTCGAAATGTAACAACTTTTGACACGAAATGTAACATTAACCCGAAATGTAACAACTTTTGACGCAAAATGTAACAACTTTTTAACGCGAAATGTAACAACTTTTTGACACAAAATGAAACAATATTTTTAACGCGAAATGTAACAAGCAAAATGTTACAGCCTTGAAATAACTGAGAGACTTGGACATGAGCCTTGTAGATGAAGTGTAAATTGTCTGGTGGTTACAAAAACAGTTTATTCATAAAGTTTTCTTACAATGTAAAATAAACTTACAAAAGGTCGTAAAACCTTGGAATAGCAGTATGGGCAATGACAACAATGCTAACTTATTAAACATAACGTATGGAAAATATCCCAAGCTATGCGAAAAGAATATGACTAGAAATGTGAACAATAACACTGTAGGAAACACGCACCAATCAGCAATCGAAATACAAGTTAAAAGTAAAAGTTAAGAAAGGTAATCTTTCAAAAGAAAATTTTGAACGTAGTCAATAACATAGATATGAAATTTCTCATTTCTTACCGGACTTCCAGTAAATGTGACAAATCTCATACCAGCCCAGTCCTGCTGCCTTAAAACTTAACCATGCCAACGCCCATTTAACATTGTTGACTATCTCACGCAGTCGGATGACTGCTCCGCTACACTTTCCTTTTAGGGAAAAGGGGAGGAGGTGGGTGAAAACAGACAGCGTTGGATAAAAACAGAAAGCGTCTTCACTCGATGAAAGTGTGAAAAGAATGATCAGTATCGATACTCACCTCGATTTCATACGGGCTCACCTCCCTAGAGGGAGTATGCTAAAAATGTACCATCCTAACCCACCTAATACGTCTTGGATTATGTAACGCCAACTTTCTTTTAAGCGTCACACATAAGTACAGAAAGATATACTAAAGAACAATTCGTTCGACTGTTTCAGGATTTAGTCACTATTATCGAAAAGCGTTTTGTAAGTTTATTTGACATTATAAGAAAACTCTATAAATAAAATGTTTTTGCAACCACCAGACAATTTACACTTTATCTACAAGGCTCATCTCCAAGCCTCTCAGTTATTTCAAGGCTGTAACATTTTGCTTGTTACATTTCGCGTTAAAAATATTGTTTCATTTTGCCTCAAAAAGTTGTTACATTTCGCGTTAAAAAGTTGTTACATTTTGCGTCAAAAGTTGTTACATTTCGGGTCAATGTTACATTTCGTGTCAAAAGTTGTAACATTTCGCGTTATGTTACATTTTGCGTCAATTGTTACATTTTGCGGCGTAACAAGGTTTGCCGTTGTCGCTGAAACGTTAGTATAAAACTATACTTTTTGCGTGTAAATCACCTTTTTCCGCCCTTGTCATTCAGTACAAGTAGAAATATATTCTTTGTGGATTAGTAGAATCCAAATGTAAAAGCACTTTGTCGATTTCTTCGCCTGCTAACTTGAATTTTTTCTCCAGGTTCGGTTTGCCTGAGTCATGGCGGAACAACTAGTCGGAAAGACAAGTAAGCTTTCCTCTTCTATCTTGAGAACCTGTTAGATTAGATGCTGTTCGTTCCCTGACGGTCTATGTCTACTCGTGTGCATATTAGGTTGTACTACAGGATAAATGTTCATTTATTCGCCCTAAAATTAATTTCCCATGTTGTTTTTAGCCGCTAGTAAAGACAACTGTTTCCAGTGGACTCCGGAACATGATGTGGTTATGAGGTGCCCTGGGAGAGCACAAATATGAGAGAAAATTGCAGCAGCACAGAATTATCTTCAGCAGCCAAAATTTAGAGTAACTTCAAGTCAAGAGCTGTTCGAGATCGGTATTCACTTTTAACTTCAAAACAAAAAAAAAAGCTGCGCGACGAAGAGAAAGCCTCCAGAATCGAATATTATAACATAGCGCGCATGCTTGCCCTATATAAGTCCTATTAAGCCGCTATGAACAAAATCTTTATTTACGCACGCCCGTGTGTAAATAAGATGACAGGGTCCCAAAGGGGTTTAGGGCTCCAGGGCTCCAAGACGAAAATGTCAGGGCTCTAGGGCTCCACATCATCTGCTTTAGGGCTCCGGGCTCCACTCTGGTCTACAATCTTGATATGTAAAAATTCTATTTTTAACGCTAAATCAAATACCCAAATAAAAAAGTCAGCAATTCCGGTCAATTTTTTCAACCCAACCAGCCGGTTATATTATCGCCTATTATTTAAAGTGGATTAAATATTAAACTTGAATAGTGCATTGTACAAGGTTCACACTAAGGTCATGGAGCGGATCAGATTTCTATGCTCCATGGGACAAACTCCAAAATCTCTGATGTCTCACCTTGCACTGACCTGACTGACCAGGACATCTTTCACGTGGCATTGATTGTCGACTGCTCAGACCGCTCGGTCAGTTCGCCTTGTTGTTGCTTTCGTTTCAAATTCCGAGATGACTGAATCAAGCGAGTTAAAAGAGGCACATGTGCTTGATGCAACCGCGTGTTTATATAAACTGGGGACAGGCAAGGCCTGCAATCGTTGGAGTTTCGTGTTGAAACGCGAGAGAACGGCAACATCAATCGCTGAATTTAAGAGTTATCTTACATTGAATCATGGTTTCAAGGAGGTTGCTACAAGCTTTGGAATTATGAAGTTCAGCACAAAAACCTCCATTCATAGACATATGAAGGAACCTCAGTTTCCGAATGGCAGAATCTTTGTGTGTAATACCCAGGGCGAATGGCTTATATATCGTGACTTTCTTAGTGACAAGAAAGGCCACGAACTGATCGGTAAGCACTGTTTGTAAAATTTAAACTACAAGCTACAAGCATTCGTTTCTTTGTCCATTTTTCTTAGGCCTGTTCAAATGTCGCCCTACTGCCGTGTCGAACTAAATTGAAAGTATCATTTTTATTTAAGCGCGGCAGTAGCACGCCGTTTGAAACATTCAGTTCGACATGCCGGGGATACGACCACTTAGAATGGCAGTAGCGCGACTTGGTTCGCGGCCAACTAAATTCATAAATTACTTTAAAGTAATTTTTCAGTTTTTACGCTCAGGATGGATGGTTGCTTTGTGGTTTGACGACGTTTGAGACCGCTGCCGTGCTATCGTCTCGCCACTCAGTGTCAAGCCAAATTTACTTGAGTTTAGCACGGCAGTAGCACATCGTTTGGAACAGGCCTTAGCTCCTGACAAGTCTAATATTCCCGGTTGTTCTTCAATTTATTTTCCTTTTACCCACAGTTTGTTGTTAATTAAGCTTACATTTTTTTACTGCAGTGAAAATTCACGAATGAACTGCATTGCTTA